AAATATTGGTCACACTTTCTGTATAGAAAAGCACAAGGTTACTTTCCTGCTTTTGAGCTTTCCTGTCTGAAAAAAATTGGGAAGAAACCTATGACAAATGAAATATTTTCTGTTAAAATGTTTGTATTTTGTTGTTAGAAGTGGAGAGCTGTAGTGATAGAAATATTGGTCACTCTTTCTGTATAGAAAAATGCTTACATATGTATGACTCCTGCCCCCATGCCTGAAGCACACTGTGAGGGGCTGGGGGGGTTCCATGTGTCTTTTCAATTCTGCAGGAAAAAAGAAATCTTCAGCACTGTCAAGAGATTCTGAACATGAATGGTCCCATGAAGTCACACATTGCCTGATTAGATTAGGATTACATTTTTGAGAACCATGTTGTAACGAGCAGCACCAGCGATGTGTTTCTGGCCAAAGCCTCTGGTGAGTGAGAGCACTACATGGAGCTGCATTGTACCCTGAATGGGCTGTCTGCCAGCACAAGGTTACTTTCCTGCTTTTCAGCTTTCCTGTCTGAAAAAATTGGGAAGAAACCTACTCTAGGTACTCTTGGGTAGAGTAATAAAATAATCCTGGTGTGCATCTGTCTCTGTTGTGTCTTGATATGGCCTGACACAGGACTGATGCTGTGATTCTGGGGCAGACACTGAGCTGATTTTTTTAGAATTGCCTTCTAACCTTAAGGTAGATTCTGCATTAAACCCTCGTATCTATCAGGGTACGTTAGCACTCCTCAGAATCCTTAATGCAAAAGTGGAGCTCAGATTTCTGCAACTTTCAGCCCTAGCTGCCAGTTTTTGTGGGTTTACATTTCACTTTTCCCGAAACCTGGATGGGGAGACATTATAGGTCCCAGAGGACATCAAATAGCAGTTTTATATGACTATTTGCACGAGCAAAGAAAAATAATTGCACAAAACAGATCAGTCCTGTGCCATGCCCAGAACAGTAGACACTGAGTTTGCACCTGCTGCTATGAAAAAAGTTGTTGTTCTGTGCTTCCTCTTACTCACAGTCAGGATCAGAGCAGAGCTGTGGACTCCAGTCCAGGAGGTGGGGTGGTAAAACAGAGAAAGAGAGAAACAAAACTGGAATTAAACCCAACCTGCTTTCTTCAAATAATGGCAGAAAACGGACACAAGAGGATATTTAACAATTGTAAAATACTTTTAATGATTACAATTACAAAGAACTAGGGAGAAAAATCCCAAAATGGCATATATGCAGGAGTGATTTTTGGACTTGCAGACTCCATGACATGGGCACAGACTGATACATATGCATCCATTTTTCTGTCCCTGGGGAAAAACCCCAAAATATATTTAAAAAACCCCCACTTTCTTCATTAGAGATAGGAAAGAAAAAGGTAAGGCATATAAATTTAACATCTAGATTACATTCTTATTTCAGATGAGATCTGAACCCAAGAGAAACATTTGTTAATCTACTCCAAACCAAACCAATTTGAATGTAAGTGGTGTATTACTCAAATTGGCAGGCAAACAATGTGAGAATATTATTGTTCATTTAACTTTAAACTCTAAAGAACAATAATATTACAGAAAAAATAATATTACACTTCTTTTTTGTCTTGTGATAAGGGCTTTGGGCACTTTTTATGGTTTGGTTGATGGTGGATGCTTTTTTTTTCTGGCATAGCTTTGCACACGCTACATCCATTACAGAGCTCCTCGAGTAGACACCACCAAGTGCAATGTCAGATGCTGAAACCCATGTCTTTGTTTTCTTATGGCACCTAGCAAAAAACAGAGTTTTCAGAATTCAGAGGTGAATAACACTCATGCTTCTAATCCCAATGCATTATGAATCAGCTCCTTTCACTTTTTCATTTTAAATTATATCAGGATGAGACATTTAATGGAATCAGATGATGTACACACCTGTTGGGAGCACCATAACCAGGGCATTTGGCAGTTTAAGGCAGCCTGAGACTGCTGCTGCTTCGGGGCACCATTTGATCATAGCAGCTTTTGACAGTGGAATGAATTCAGGACTTAGGAAGTCAACGAGTGAAATAATGAAATATCAGAAAAACAAGTGACAAAAAAAAGTAGGATGACAGAAGTCATTGCTTTTCTAGTACTGGGCTGAACTCTGCATAAGCCAACGCAGCAAGAGCTCTTTGCCAAGAAACATCAGAACACAGTCACACAATTTTTTATGATGTCCTTCTATTTTCCCAACTTTGCAGCTAGGGCTGCAGCTGCAAAGACCTTAAAAAATAGTTACTGAAGATACTAAAGGGTATTGACAAATGAGCACCAGAAAACTTCTTACTACTTTCTACTGATGTTTCTTCTAATTGCAGGATGCATTCTGTTTTTTTAAACCACTATCATCCTTGTTAATGGCATGGGTTTGAACCTCTAAGACCATTTTGGACAGTGATCACATTGCAGTATTTAACTCTGCTTGTTTGAACAAAGCCACAAAAAAGCAGCCACCAGACAAGAGAGGTGCAAACAAGTTGTCCAAAGCTTCACAGGTGACTCAGCAGGTCCAGCCAGGTAGCTCCCTGCAAACAGGGAGTTGTTTCCATACCAGTGCTGTTCTCCTTTCCTCAGCACAGGTCAGGCTGGTTCTTCCACATTTCGGTTAATCCAATCTTCACTTCTTCAATCTCAACTGGATTAGCAAACACTTGTCCTAGCTCTAAAATGGCAAATCCCAGAACAGCACAGAGCAAGCAATGGTGCTGGTTGGTTTGCTATAGGAGGATACATTTATTATGAAGATATTTTTCAAAGTGATATAGTGTATGACACTTGCTTCATACCATCAGTCAGTCACAAAATGTTTCCTGATCAGAAATCATAACGGTAATCATCTACTTTCCTGTGTATTCATCTTATTGTGTTTCAAGGAAAACTCCAACATATAACGATGTGGTAGAGCGCCCATCATCAAAGGTATTCAAAATGTGATTGGACAGATTGATTATTGCTAGATAATGTCACCAAAGATCCCTTTCCCACAAAAGGTTGGAACAGATGATCTCTCAAAAGTCCCTTCCAACCTGGGCTGGTCTGTGATTCTGATTTAATTAGTGGTTGTAGTGGGAAGATATTAAAATTAACTTTGTTATATGAATGTTGTAGGAAGGCTACTGAATATTCCTGGTGGAATTTCTTCACTTGGAACCAAGTTTTACAGACTTGGGAGTACACAAGTACAAGCTGCCATTTCTCAGTAGCTTTGTTTCCACATCTCTGTATTCATCCTCATTTGGTATTGGCATTAATATTTACTGAAGGTGGCTGCAGGCTTGGGAGTGCTGCAAGGATCCACATAGTCTGAGTGAATTCATGTACATTCTCTGATTTCTGCATTACAACAGGCACATAATTGTATCCCAGAGCTGCACCTTATCCCCCAACAGAAGCAGTGTTTAAATTAAAAATTATAATCCAGTTATAGCAATAGCTAGAAGCATACCTACATAAGTACAAAGCTTTAAGGGAATAAATTTCCTGTAAAACAGGTTAACTCTTGCTCGAAGAAAAGTGACTTAATGCCAATTTAAAATGTTAGATAATCAAATGTAAAGAAAAGGCTGTGTGTAAAGAAAAGGGGACTAAAGAAATGCAGGGAAAACAAATCCTACTTACAAATCTGAGATGCCTGGTCCTAAAGGATTGCAATGTGAATAGTGCTCAAGTTGGTTCTGTAAAATACCAACAGAATTTCATGACATTTCAGCCCTTTACTGTCAGAAAAAGTAAATCTGCAGAATCAGCTTGTCCTTAATACCCAAGACAGGTGAAATACCCGCCTGTTTTTTACACTACTTTATTTTGCTGTCCCAGGAAAGTGGGTAATTATGGACCACTCAAATGCAGCATGTGCAGACCCAAGACAATCTACAACTGTAACAATAAAATAGAAATTAAAAAAAAATAGATACTGGTGATTCTGATACCAGTGTACTTCAACAATCATGGCACCAATTCTGGTGAGACCTGGCTAAAGATTTCTCACATGCAATTATGTAAAAATTTTACTTAAACATCTATCACATCCACCAATCAAGCCAAGCATGAGGACCTGTAAGCCACAATTGTAACCACTTCAATTAAAAAGTTTGTGAGCATTTTGCTTTGGTGCTGTGGAAATACTGATGCCACTTAATTATTAATGCAAAATCAGTGACAGAGGTATATAATAGGGGTATCGATGGTTCTGAAGCTAAATAATTCAAGTGTTTAAAAAATGGAATTAAATTTGTTAACTGCAGTAACCTATTTTCCAATTTCAAATTGATCAACTTCCTGGTTTTCCCTTAATGCCAGCTTTTTCTTTTTACTTCCTGCATTTTTTTGTCTCTCCAAGTAGCACCTGGACAGGGGCTGTCCATCTGCTGCCTTGTCAGCCCAGAAACTGCTCTTAGTGACCCACACCAAGTTACAGGCAGTTTGTCACATTCTGCAATTTCTTCCCGGTGTCCCATACTCCCACCTCCACCTTCTCCCAAAGCTTGTCAGTTTACAGCTACTGAGTAGTTACATGTAACAATATTTGCCTAAGCTACACTCAACACACCTGAAGTTAACGCTGTCCTTTTCAGAATTTAAGTGTGCTCAGATCTTTCTGTGTACTGGAAACTTATGAGTGGAAATTTCAAAAGCAACTCAAGTATCATAACTAAGACATGACAAAAAAAATTCCAAAATAATGGCCTCTGAAGATGCTAACTACAGGAGTTCACTCAGATCACATTCGTTCATGTGACCACAGATCAAAGCATTTCATGCTGCTATGAATATGAAATCAGATGTCTTCTCACTATGGTAAGATGGTTTTCAAATGAACTCATAAAAATAATGAAAAAGCTGACCAGGTCCACTTCAATTGCGGAAAGTTCACTTCACTTCAGGAAACAAAAGAATATAAGAATAAGGCATTTATCTGCAAAAAAAAAAGTATCTTACAAAAATTTTACTTGCTCAATCCTAGAAACCACAACGGTATTAATAATATCATAGAAGACAACTAATACAGTGTTTATTTAGAAGCAGCATAAGTCCAAACAGTGCATAAAATTCCAAAGTCTTTATTGTTACATTTTAAGTGCATATATTACTTCCATAATTTTGTGCCCTTCCACAGGAACAGAAACAGAGCAGCTATACAATTTGTTCTTTTCAAAAAGCTTTTACTACTTTGAGATCTCATCTTTCTAATAGGTAATACAGTGAAGTAGTTCCAGTGATGAATTCCAGGTCTGTATAGACTAGATTTCTAAAGAGTAAACTCAGTATGGAAAGTGTTAAAGTTTTTTAATATTCCCATAAAAGGTGACAAAATAAAAAAAGTAAATTGAATTAAGACAGGCAATATACACAAGACACTTGTAAAAAACCCCAGATGTTCCATACAAAATATTCATCTATCTCTAACAAAAAAGGAAAAGCTTTTCATAAGTTAAAAGGTATCTCTTAAATTTAAATACAATCTGTACTGGCTACATTACTTCCACAACTTTTATAAATGAATGACAGAAGACAGAATTACCTAACACTGGGCATCAAAAATTAAATTTCTATTTTTAAATGGTTTATATGTGTGACTTCCCCCATTTGCATCAAGGATAACATCTGTAGCTTCTTTGGCCGAGGCCATCATCTCTAAATAGAAGGCCCAAACAAAATGGGAAACATTTCCACTGCTGAGAAATAATCAAGGAGTATAGTTTGGTTAGAATGCCAAACACAAAGGAACAATTCTATATTTATAGGAAAAAAGTTATCTTTCTAAAAAGACGACTGTGAATCCACAACTGTCATCTTTAATTTTAAAGTATTTGATAAGTACCACAGTACTGACAAATCTTCATAAATATCATTACTTTTGAAATAAAGATGTCAAAAAAGCACAGAAAATTTATTATTCTTACTGGAACAGCTTAAACTTTCTACTTTAAATTTAGATTTTTGTTTCCAATGTTATGTATGGATCATTTTTATAAAACCTATTCTCAGGGAAGTGATAGTATCAGGATAGAGAATAGGCAGTAAGGTTGAATTCTTTCTTCCCTGCCCAAATACTTCCAAAAGACCTTACAAACTGTAGATAATGAGAAATACCAGAATTCACCCACTTCACCAATGTTACCATTGCCTATCTATATAAAGCTGCAGTGTATTTTGTGTCTAACTTGGGTAATAGCCACAAGGCTCCATCACACTGATTGATGTGCACTAGACTTCTATTTCCAGCTTTGTGCCTTTCCAGATGCTGGGAACTGGAGAGAATAGACACCAACACTTCAGCTCCATAAATGGAGGACAAATGAATCAAGTGCTTCACCTCACTTGGCAATGACCTACATCCACCTGAGGAGCAGCAAGAGCATTATTGACAAAGCACCTTCCTGAGAGACGCTGATTGTCACATGAGGCTTACAGCCTTAACAAGTTGAGATGGAAAGTTCTTCGGCTCTCTGAATGTTTCAGATCCATCTCTTAAAGAGAGTTCAACTGGAACTCTTTGGAGTCTCTGAGCAAGACTGAACATAAATGATTCGCATGCAGAAAACCTCAAACTATTTCAACCCCTTGGCCAGAAAAACCATGCTGTGCCTGGAAGCACCAGAGCAATGATGACAGAAGAAAAAAGATTTACGGTGTTGTTGTCTAATATAGGTTTTCCAGATATGTGCTTGGAGTCTTTCGTCTGGTGGTTAACAACCATGCCAATTGTCTGGTCAAAACCTGGAAAAAAGGTAAAAACTTAATTTTACAAAGCCAACCAAGATGAAGAGAAACTTAGTAACCAAGTATATATACCTTCCTAAATTTATTTTACTGTAACAGTGTTATATCTCTGTAAGAAGACATCATCAGACTAAGCTAAATTACAGTTAGTTTAATTTGGTACCTTCAAAGAATGGGGTATAAATGCAATATTTTACATTAGAAGTTATTTCTTTTGAGAAGTTACACTTCTGTCAAATCTTCTCTCTTTATGTAGTTTTACAGCAAAGAAAGGAATGAAATAAACTAAATTAGAAGAGGAAAAAGCTGTTCCAAGTCACTCTAAAGCAAAGGATGCTGTTTTGAACAAAAACAACTTATTAGCAACATGTTTTCTGGCAAGAAGACGTATTTGTTTTAAAAGGAAAATTATGGAAAGAACATTATTACTTAATCCGACAGAAAACAAGCTCCTAACAAAGGCCGAATTTATAAATTCTATTTACGTAGTAATTTTATACTACCAGCAGCTAGAGTTTTTTCTGTAGTACTTAGGTAATTTCTTGCTCTGCCTCTGAATTATCAATACTTTAATATTACTTCATTAGCTATTACTACAGATACCATTATCCTGTGTTTTCTCCAGCTGCACCATTCTGTATGCTGATAAAAGCACACCAATCTAGAATGCCTGATCTTAACTCACACTGTAGTGAAGTGTAATTGGGTATGTGCACATGCACACTTTTAAGGTGGGAACATTCCAAATGAAATCAGAATATTTTGTATTAATTTTTCTTCTTCTTACATTTTACTTTCAACACTCACAACCTGGAAACTTCAAAGAAAGCTGCTACTTTAATAGAAAAAAAATTTTGCACCTCAGACAAAACTTTAAAAAAACCCCACTACGAACCTCCCTGGCAGGTATATAGTTGGTAATACTGTTTTGAAACATACATTTAAACCTGGCCTTAAATAACGCAGAAGAGCTACAGAAAAATCAAACTTCAAAGTCTAATAGTCTACCCCTGAACACTTGCTATGTTTTAGAGTTGTACTTTCTTTGAGGAAAAACTGGAACTAATTTTTTCTAAAAAGATGCCTCAATTGTACATAAAGTGTATATTCCAATCTTGTACAAGTTGGTAAAGTAACAGTTCTTTTGTTATCTTTGTTATTTACAGAATAGGTATAGACTGACAACATGGGCAAATTTGAATCTTATTCTGCACAGCTATTCAAAGTTTTAATTAATAACTGTGCAGTCAGGGGTGCATTTTCTTCCAGAAACAGTGGGTATCACAGACTATGAGATACACCACATGTAGGGATATCATCAAAAGGAAAAACATTGACAGAAAGGATTAGCAGCATACTGTTTTAAAAAAAGAGACAATGCTTTATTCCCACTGCCATATTTATTGTTTTTCAAGATGCTGCAGAAACTATAGTATTCCTTCCGAGTCCACACTAAAAAGGGAGCAAAAAAGTGGGCTGAAGGAGAGACACAAATGAGCAGCACAGTTTTGCCTGTATGACATCACATATATACCACAGCATGTATGTGCACAACGTAGTATACATTCTCCAGGAATGCTTCTGAATTTGTAAAAGAAACTGTGTAACTTGCATGCTGTTCCTGCTGCAGCTAAAAAGGTAAGTTGCTGAGCATGGAAAAAATTACATGAAATGAAAAAGAAATAGATACTGATAAATGCAGGCATGCATTAGCTAGGTTTACTCCATTCTCTTAATGCATCTGCCTCATTAGGAGCTCGAAACATTATCTGAGTGCTTAAGCGTTTCTTGCTCAGGACAGAAATACCTAAAAATTCATCAAACAGTTAAACACTTCATTGCATTTCAAACTTTAATGGAATTACAAAGAACAGAGCATAAAAAATGCTGTATAGCCAAATCCAGAGCATCAACAACAGTTTGTAGATCTCACTGTAATGGCAGACCTAAAGGACTTGTATATCTGAGGCAGTTCAGGGTGAATCTGCACATTCACACCTTGACCTCCAATTAATAAGTATACCAACAATGGAAACTTAAATTCTCTCTGTAAACAAGCTGGTAAACACAACAGTGTCAGATATGGTTTCTAAACAATTTTGAAACATAGGACAAGTTTACAGCTCAGCCTAAAGGTTGTCTGTAGTGTTTATTCACAGGCAATGATCCTTCAAGGCAATGAGTAAACACTGAAATAATTTAGAACCAGCCAGTCAACAATTTTTTTTAAATGCATATTTGTCTTTATTTAAAGTCACAGCTAGTTTGTGATAAGCTTAACTCATAGGCAACAGTGCTCTGTATTATAGAGCTTCTACAAGAAGCAGTGAAAAAACCAGAAGATAAACTACTATTCACTTTTTCTTACTTATTACATTTGAGCCTATTGCTGAGACTTCAAAATTAGGAATAGAGTTTCTGCAGTGACAACTTAATCCCAGTAAAAGGATAATATTAAACTAAGATTTTTTCTTATAAAACGTTACTATAATTAGATATATAGAAAAGGAGAGGGCAGCAACTGCTTCTTCCAAGGTAAGTTGTTGGGTATCTCTGTCTCTTTCAGTCATCAACATTCCAATAAGCTGCAATAAACAAATCAAAATGTGGAAAAGGGCCAACCACCCTCTCTCCTTTTCATTATGATGTCCATTTGCTCCCTTTGAGCTTTATGCTGCTATTTCTGTAATCTTTCTATTTAAAAATCATATCCTCAGCCCTTCTTGAAGTACATGTCAAATTTTAGGTTACATTGGGAGAAAGGGGAAAAAACCAAAGAAAAAAAGAAGACTCTTACCACTGTATTGCATCGTAGCTCCCAAATACGAATCGACAATTGATCCCAGTAGGCCAGCTGCTGCAGCAAACACTATAATGGGCCATTGCGGAGCAGATATTTCCAGATCAGTCACAAAAATGAGCTGAGTTATAAAGTAGGCTATACCTACTGTCATGCCTCCAAGCAAACTTGAGATCAGGCCCACTAAACTAACTGCTCCATTAGTACCTAAACCAAATAAAATGTAGCTGATTTACAAACTGGTTTTAAAAGACTTGTATTAATTGAAATGTTTTACATGAAATTCGAACTAAAGCTCCATAATGAACTTCTTTCCTTACATCTACTGCAGCTTTTTACAATTCCCATTATGCTGTTGAGCAGCTTAAGCTGTACCATTACCGTTATTTCTCCTTTCCTGTCTCTAGGGCTAGTCCTCTAGAAATATTCACCAGCATTAAATTAAATAAAACTAGACAGCACACACCTCTCAACATCACCTGGTATTTGTCTGGTCTAGGTGGGGAATAAAAGAAGAGATTTGCTCAAGATTAACAGACCTTGAGATGTGCACATTAAAGCAATGCCCTCTTTCAGAAGTAGTATACTAAGACACCTTTCACCAACACATTTAAAAATAAAATAACCAAATCCATAGACAGAAATGTTTGATAGGTCATTGAATAAAAATCTGAAGAATGTATATAAAGAAAAAAAAATCCCATGCATTTAACTCCTATCCAACAAGATCTGTACCTCTGATCAATCTGTCAGCAAGACTCAAAAAAGGCATATTGCTTTAAAGCAGCAACGACATCCACCATGGAGACAACATTTGACAGACAGAAAGTTCATTTCATTCACCCTTGGTAGGATATTAAAGGAAATTAGTGATTTGTTTATGAAATGAATTTTCTGTACTATCTCTATGGAATATATATGTATTCTACTGACTAAAATAATGCCTGAAAAATATCAGTTGATAAGTTGTATTCTTCATATTAGCAGTATAAACTCTTTTACTATTGCCAGAGACTCGAAGTGACAGCATTCAGAATGATTTTAGCTATTTTAGCTCCATGGTTGCTATGCTATGCTTGTGCATCTCATCAACAAGATGCAGAAGAAACACAGTTGACCATATTCCATATCAGAGAATGCATTCCTGGGAACCTTTTCAAATCCCAGATTTCTGATATTTGTTTTTCTATGTCTTTCTTGGAACTTTTCAAGACGGATGCATAATTCAAAACAGATTAACAAAATATTAAGAACATGTAGAAGAGGTAACACCTTACCGACTGGAACCTGTTCCCAGGTTGTTATCAATCTTGGTTTGCCTTTACTCATAACACTACCAATCTCTGAAGCCCATGTATCACCAGCAGAGCATGCCAAAGCTCCCAAAAGGGATAAGCACATCCATGATGCTGTGTACTCCTTTGAAAAGTCAATAGGAATTTCACCCGGTCCATTTTCTATCATATATAAGAGAGCCAGCTCAGTAGGAACACCACCATTACAGACTACCTGAACCCAATTCCTCTGGCCACCTGAAGTATAGAAACTGAATTTTAGTAATTTCAGGAAACAGCATGAGGCAAAAGCAAAATAACACATACAAAATCAAATTTAAAAAGACACACATTCAAAACAGAAACTTTATGGCAATTTATTTAACAGAACAGAAGCAAAGTGGCTTGCTAATATTCACAGGGAGAGGGTCAAGGGGAGTCTCAACAGAGCTCCCTATTCTAGATGCTACATCTCATCTGACCCTTTGAAGGGAACAAGAAACATGCAGTATTTATTCTCCACAAGTGATCTAAAAGAATTAAAGTATTTTGGCTTACCTTCTTTGTATTCTGAATCTATTTGCTTCTTTATATCTTTTCTCCACTTAGTAAGTTTTGAAGAAGTAACAAAAAATACAAACAAAGAAGAGAAGAAACTGTAATTTGCGACTGTAAGGATAAATCCAACCACTAGTCCTATGAAGAAAAAAAGAAGTATATGAAGTTCCTTCATGTAACAATGGTTGTTTTGCAAAGAAATTAAGTATTCTGAATTTTCTGAATATGAAGAGTATCTTCCTGGTAAACCTAAGACAATCATGCAGTAAGAGATTCTATTGAGAATTCCTAATTTTATTGTAACTGAAGCATGAGATTTTTAAGACTTTTTACCACAAATCAGTTATACTGTACAAAATTAAAAGAGAAGCAATAAACCCTCCAGAATCCAAAGAATATATAATTGAAATTCAAGTACTCTGTCTGAAGAATATTATTATTTTTATGAGGAGCAGATATATACCTGTGGCTGTGCCTCTATCAGCAAGTTTATCATTAGTTTAGATATCAAATCCCACATCCAAGGTCTTTAAGCTAACATGCAAAACCCTCCTCCATAACTTAGCAGATGCTACTTCTCTATTCTTTTCTTTCTTTCCTTTTTTAGTTTCTGATTTTTATTCCACCTCTTTACTTCTGTAATTTTTTTAAGTATTTGATCTCCTTGATGCAATTCATTTTTATGTCCCCTTTCACAGGGGAGGCCTAAGTTCACTCCTCACCATGAGATTACAATTCTAAAGGACTGAAAGAAAAATGGTTACATTTAAGAGCAAATGCCAGTAGAAATTGGCGAGCAGAGCTGTTAAGAGGTCGGAACATAAAAGTCAGAAACATTTTTGTCAGTGTAGAAAATGCTTCCCTTAACTCTCACAGACAGAAGATTTGCAAAATGGGTGACAAGGGAAGGATTTGAGGCCCTGTTTTACTCCACTGAACATCAATTTAGACAATTGTCACAAGACAAGGGTGAATCACCTCACCCTGAAACATTGCATCAGATTTCAATAAACACTATTGTACACTACACTGGGCTTTTCATCATGTGGTCTAGAAAAACTTTGCAGAAATAGTCATTTGTTCTTAGTGAAATACAGATTTAATTTTCTTATTTTTGCCAGGCCAAAAAATGCCTAGAACTGCTTCTGTTACAGAAAGGGGAACCATACAGAAAGGAGAACTGATTTCCCTCCAAGCAGGATGGCTGCTGACATGATCAGTTTAGGGTCTTTCTTTACCACTACCTCTGCCATTTGTTTGTTTCTCTGTGAATCCTTCTACATGGTAAACCAAACCATGTGATTTAACTGCATACTGTACTGAAGTTTAAAAGAATCTTCCAGGTTTATATAACCATAATAGTATTAATCAAATCAGTTACGAACAGTAGCACAGGGTTAACTTGACTGTTTAAACAGGCATGAGAAAAAAAATCCCAGTATGAATCTGGGGTATGCATGCTTACATTTACACTTTATTATAACAGAACTAGGTAAAGTCTTAAACTGAAAACAATAAAAAGGACCTTTACTTTACCAAATGTTTAGCTTAAGTCTCAGAAAAAACATACCTCCCAAAGCACCACTGTGATCAAGACTCTTCTTCTTAAAACCCTGTGTAGCAATAATTAGTGGAACCAAGACTGAGAAAAGCCAGCGCCATGGAGAAATGGGTCGTAAAGTACCTGGTAAATCAAATAACAGGGTCACATGATCCTTATAAAGCCTTTATGTCTTCAAGTCTGAAAAGTCATTATTTCCTGATATATACTTAAATTTTAATAGATCTTAATAGAGATTAAAACTTTTTATCCTTCAGAAGAAAGATATTCATATGGACAGAAGAACAATGAATCTGCAATTATCTACTCAATTTTTACATTCAGCTATCAAAAGAAAATATAGTTAATGAACTGAAATTAATTACCAAAAAATAACAAAATGTGACAAGAAATAAATATGGTGATATTTTCCATTCTAAAAGGGATTTATGAACTTCAAAAACCAACATCTGAATTTACTGTGACAAAACTCCACTACCAAAAAAAGCCAAGCAAGAGAGTCTGCTAGGCGAAAGTAGTGTGACCACTTTATGAAACATCAGCCCTTTCAGTTCTTCTGAAAGATGATGTAAGGCTTGATGTAAGGCTCTTGATGTAAGGCTCTTCAAAATACACTTTGAGCTGATGACTTTCTTGGCAAGATTTGAAGTGACAGTTTCAGTCTGAAAAACACACAAACTTCTAAAAGCTAAAGCCAATAGTTAATATGGGTTTTGAAATTTAAAAAAAAATTAATCTTGAAAAGTTATTATATCTCCTATACAAATACAAGATATCACAAATCTTGCATTCAAGTAAGTCTCAATCTCGTAAAGGAAAGATTTCACAGAGACACAGAAGCTTGTCTTGCTGGAAAGATAAACATGATGGTTTTCAACAAGAACTTTTCTGTCATCAGGACCCCAACCTCTGCACAAACACTGGCTCTCTGCTGCAAAGCAGGACACAGTAAATCACTCATTGTGATGTAAAGATTCACAAGAAAAAAAAGTTCTTCTGTGTACTGAAAAGCCCCAAAGCCATAGTAGGTGGGCAAGGGGGGTCTTGCAACCCAGGGCTGAGTCAGAAATTCAGAAGACAAGCAGCAGATGTGGATGAAGAGCCCTCCAGTGCTGTAGCCTGGTATTGCTTATCACAAACCAAGGCAGCTCTTGGTGCAAACTTGAGTGTAAGCAGTATTGGAACACAAAGGGGTTCCTTTTGTTTGGCTAACAAATACAATTTTCATGTCTTCAAGGTCATTTTCAAACTAAACTTTTTGGATTTGTTTGTAGGAAAGTATTTGTACTAAATTACTACTAAGTAAGACCAAAGTAGGATCTATAATAACCAATGTGTTCTTCGACATTCTGGCTTCACTAACATCTGGCCCACTGTTTGGAGCTTAAGAATGATTATAAAGTGTACATTAATAAAATTACAGACTGTGAATTTCACCACTTTTATGGGCGGAACCATTTAAAGCCCATTAACTACTGTATGTTTCATTCACCTCCTTGAAAAGCCAAGGTCTTTCCACAGTCTCAGGCAAATGAACAACACAAGTTTTATGTCCTTCTTGTTCCATAACCATTCCCTACAAAAAGGAGGATTTGTCCACAGTCTTCTCCTTTCTATCAGGCCCTATCCTGATTTAGCTGGTACCAGGTCTCTCCATGCTATATTCCACTCACATAAAATATTAGGGACTAGAATATTCTAATTGTCAGAAAAGCTATACCTTTTTGTGTAGAAAAGCAGACACACATAAATGAAGTTACATGTTTAAATCCCACTTAGGTAGCTACAAATGGCACAAATAAAAGCTGGTTGTGAAGCCTGCTTCTGCCTACCTTCTACACGTCCGGCATCTCACTACAAGCAAACCAGAAGTATGCAGACAACACAGATTTAATGCTGTACCAGAACTAACCCATCCTAAATCACTGAAAAACACTAAGCAGATACATACAACTGCCTCTACAAAAGTCACCTTGTACTGGTGGGGTATTTATTATAGATTCTTCTGGACCCAGGGTGTTACTAGGCAGTTGAAGATGTTCATACTCTATCCCTAGGCACTTTCAGCAATACTGCAATGACACTGGAGCTCTTCCAGTGTCAAACCGGCTGGGGTCTGAATGATAAGTCTTTACCTGTCTTGGAAAAGTAGTTGAATTCTTCTAAGCATAAACTCATACTGCAGGCAGCATCAGCTGCTTTTGCACACTGCTGTAAGAATGGTCCTAGAAAGAAAGACTAGAGAGGACTTGTGTTCCTGCACACAACTAAGTCACAGCCAGCCTGAGCTGCCCGAGCAGAACGCTGAGCTGACAGTACACACCTCAGGCCAGCCGCTCCATGCATACATCCCTATCTTCTTATACCATTTCCCATTTCTCTGTCCTCAACTAAGGAAGTCTTCCTGCATGACCTGTCCCGCACATTGCAGATGTTGCTGATTCCTAAAGCAGTCCTGAAAGCTGGCACACTCCTTCCATGCTGTCACATACTTCCCCTGACACAGAAAGACCTCTGTCAGCTTAGTCTTTCTTTTCACTTAATTGTTATTTGCTTTTCTTTGGAGAAACAAATCACAAAGGACACCAACATTTTAAACAGTACGTGATCCCTGGGCAGAGCTGCAAGTAAGCGGCTGTCAGCATCTCCTAAACCACTACCGCCTAGTGTAAGAGGTGAGGCTATCAGCTCTACAGACGGAGGACAGGGCTGTGCACACCCCATTTCTGTCTCCTGCCCAGAGGGGCCGGAGGGCAGGGTTCGCCCGTGGCCGCGCCATGCCAGCCTCTCCCCGGCCTTTGGACTCACCGTAGTACGTACTTGCAGTCATGGACACGATCCAGAACACCAGCGAAATACAAATGAGCAAGTTCAGGATGACCATATTCGCCATCATCTTGAGGTATTCTCTGAAGAAATCCTCCTGGTAATAGGACATGGGAATCAAGAAGGACAACACCTGAGGGGAAAACACAAGGCGCAGGGCATCAGCGACACCGCCACCATCCCCTTCTCCTCCTCTTTCTCCTCCCGCCCGGCCGGAACTGCGGCCGGGCCCGGCCCGCACCGCCCCCGGGGCGCTGCCGGGAGGCACCGAGGCGCTCATGCTGAGGCTGCTGCGGCCGAGGGGGCGCTGCGGCTGCGGCTGGGCCGGGCCGGGCCGGGCCGTGAGGAGCAGTCAGCGCCCTGGGCGGGGATGGGGTCGCGCCCCTCCGACAGATGCTGCCAGCGGAGATCCAGTTTGCGAAATAAAACCAGGAACGACACGCCTGTGAAAGGCATGAAGTCTGTGGATAATTAGTGAGACCAATGAGCGCCTGGATGAGGTTTGAAACTTGTTGGAGCACTTCGAAGTTCATTAACAGCAGAAGAAAGAGACTTGAAAGGTTTCCTGAAGTTGACTTGGGATGAAAACATGCCAAACCTGCCTGGTGGCTTTTCTTGGGGCACGTCAGGATGACTCCCAAAACACTCGAGTTGTAAATAAGCTGGCATTAGCTACGGGACACAGCTCCCATTCCGCACATTAGAGACTTTGTCAGCAAAGAGGTGAAACTTCACAACTTCCCAAAAACCCATTGTTTTGAGGCAGCAGCCTCAAAATAAACGAGAAATAAATGAAATAAATAAGACTTCAGGCATCCCAGGAGACAGTGCTGAAGAAGCATTTAAGTATTCAGCACTTGTTCCATGGAATCTAGACCAAAACCTTCAAGTGGTGCAGATAAGTCACCTCATGAACACCATGTGCTTTTTTCTTATGGACTTCAGCAGCAGCAGCAGAACAGAATATTTATTTAAGTATTCATCAAGAGGCAGGGTAATACAAAAAAGGACAGTAAAAGGTCTTTGATACACAAGAGAAGTAGTTTTAAAGCTAGAAAATTCAAGTGAGCAATCTTGATTTAGGAGATGATAATTTCCTTACTGAATTTGGGAATAATTCTGGCTTGTGGAACCCATTTATTTTTGAGGCATATTCTCTTATTTTCCATTCAGCATCTGGAGTAGGTTTCTATCAAAGTGTGAACATAGTCCACGTGTTCTTTTTCTCTCAGAAGAACATGATTCTTTTATCTCATAAACTTGGACACATTTTCATGTTGTTGTGAAAGAAATACTTATTACTCAGAGTTGCTTCTTCAGACGCTGTCTAAGCTAATAAACTTACTCCTTAAAGATTTACAGCTACCTGGTTATAGCTGAAGAAAGTAGGCCTGTTCCAGAGGATAAAGTTAATACTTGTGTGTTTACAATGTATTTTCTCCAGGCAATTAAAGACAAAACTTGGATCAGGTGCCTTAGAGAAGGCTTTCTCTTACTTTCTGCTATATCTATTAGGAACAAATACCAGTAACATCCAAAATTTATCTCAAGTAGAGATACCTGAAACAGTAATACTAAAGTAGGAGTACTATTTTTGATATATCTAGTCTTCCTTCTTACCTCCCAAATTTTCATTAAACATCCATCTAAGGTCTGAATTTGAGATCTAACAATCAGAGACTCAGTAACTGGGCTGCTTTGTAAGAACAGCACACCTTTCAGGTATAGCACTGACAGGACATTGCTTAGGTTCTTCTGCAAAAATCTGACTAATTGAGATTTTCAACCAGAACAAAATCAACCCTACTTAAACTGGTAGCTGAACAAGCAGCTGCTTGTTCTGGTACAATGAACTCCCATAAACATACTCATTGAAATAAATCCTTAACTGTAATAAATTGTTTTACTTAATTTATTGCTTACTTTTTGTTTTCTTAACTGTAACAGAATGATACTAGAATTTCTGGTGGAGAAACAAATGTTCCTGCAGGAATTCTAGAGCCCTGGCTGTTATGTGTGGCTCTGTAAAACTGTGGGACTGTGATTAATGGTAACACACAAGCTGGTGTGAAGAGGGGGCAGGTTTGTGGAGCTCTAAAGGACTCTTCAGCTCCCTTCACAGATCCCATACCCATGTGAAGTAGCACTTGGCACTGATTTAGGGACATACCAGACTATTGCACCGGTTTATCTACAGACCTGGTCCTTGGCTTAAAGCTAAAGGTGCTGCTGCTGCTGCAGTTTACCTGAGCAAGAACAGCAAAAGGGACCACAGCTCTCCAGTGCTGGTGTTAGAAAGGTGGTTCTGGTCAGGAAATGTCTAACAAGCAGTGCATGAATAATGTTGGCTTTGACTCCTTTTGCAGCTCTGAGTCTTTTGTTAAATGTGGCTTCATACATCCCTCTTCCAGTGTTTCTGATTGCCAACAAATTTTCCTGCAGTAGCTTGGTACACATTAAATGTTGCAAGTAGATTAGAAAACAAGAAAGAAAGGCATGCAAAATTAGACTTCTTTCTACATTTGGAAGCTGAAAGAAGTAGCTACACTTTTGAAAGTAATGTCTACAACAGCTTTGTAATTGCCCCATATATTGTGTTTAAACTACTCTATTCTAGATGTTGCCCTTTTTTAAAACTAGGTCCTGTAATAATGATAATAATAACAACAACACCAACACCACTTTTAATTAGTAAAAGCTAGGTTTTTAAAAAACTTTTAAAACTTTAAATAACCTTCCCCCCATTCCTTATTCACACCTAATAGTAGTGATAAACTTGAGAATTTAAAAAAAACAGCAAGAAACAGTTGCTTATAACAAATAGACCTGAAAGCTTTTCCTCACACTTTTCCATCCAAATTCATATGTGGAATAAGAAAAACATAAGAAGTTTAAATTAAAAAAAAAGGAATTATAAGCTACCCAATATTTAGAAGAAGAGTTTCTTCTTACCTTTTACCTAAATGTATAGGATGCAAAGCACTGCCAGTGCAGTCTCTAGGAGAAACAAAAAAAAAATGTATGATGTAATAAGAGGCAGGAATGTGAGATTATTAAAAGCATTGCAACAGAAAGAAGATAATAAAATGTTACTGTACACAGCATGCTAATAACTTTTATACTCACTCTTTTCCTAGGTATTTAGTAGATTTGCCATAATACAGCACAATATTTACAAACTTTTATGACGATTTTAGAAGTAGACTTTCTGACTTATTTTTTTGTATCTCTGAGATAGAACTTTCCATTTGTCTTCACTGCTTAAAACATTATTCACACTTATGCTTGATAGAATGCATTATGAGTAATATAGCTTGAAAGTTAAATACAAATTTAAACATCTTTTATTCTCCTTTGTTAATCTTGTTTTCTCAATAACCAAAAACTGATTGAAGACAAAATACTGTTCAATACATGAAATTAAAAATCTGTAAAAATTGTTAACATTGTATTAAGTATAGCTGTTCACAAGGGCCTTGAATAATATTCACACTCTTAGAAAAGACAACATAGTAAGACTGTAAAATTTTATGCTGATAGTGTATTTAGATAGCTACAGAAAACAGAAGGGGAAAAGTTATACTGCAGATAAATATTCATCTGAAGTAGAGCATTCATAATTAGTAGTCACCTGTGAAAATACCAATCAAATTGCAAACAGTAATTTTCATACCAAAGGAGTTGCTATACAGATGAATTCCTAACATTTTTGAGGCAGTTAAAAATGTCAGTGCTTAACACTATAGCAAAACTATTCATACCAGGATTTGGACTGTGGACTATAAAGCAGCAAATGAAGAATAAATATCCAAACTGCTTACCAAAAAAGAACAGAACCTAGAATGAAGATTTAAGTATTAAATTTATTAAATATGTGTCGACAGGCTTTTGCTTTATGTTAGATGAATTTATCCAAGGACAAAGACATCAATTAAATTTATTAATAGTAGCCTAATTGTCCTTTTCTGGGTCATTTATTACAAATGATCCAGCTTTTTACTATGTGTTTATGCTGTGATTTTCTACTTTATCAACTAATTCAGGAAAGAACCCACATATTGAAAGTAGCATGTGTTCAAGATTGTGATATCTCTAGTACATTTGCATTTTACAGAGGAGGAAGTTAAAGAATTAAACTAGAGTGCCAAAATATGTTAATGAAAAAAAATACATTTCATCAGTGGGTAATTCAGTAACAGGGAAGGCTAACAGTAAGCAGGGCAGCTAAAGATCTAAAAGGACTATGCACAAGGAATGACCATCTTCAGTCATAGACTTGCCAAGATGAGGCTTGAGGTGAAGAGGCTTTTAACTAAAGTTGACAGAGGAGGAGAACCTCCTTCCATCCCAGTCCCACTGGTTTGATGTCAGCAACCCCACAAGAGATGCCCAGAACCGGAGGAGGATCATAGTGATGCCTAAAGATTTTTAGCTTCTTTATAAATTTGTAACTTTGTAGATTTTAATATACAGCTGTATAGTTTCTAGCACTTTCTTACACTTTAGAACAGTAGTTACCCTTTCTCACCTGTCACCTTCTTGAAATACTGTCTGGTCTTATTTTCAAGGAAAAGGATTTCCAACAAGAACAGCTTATTTTGCACCAGCACCTGGGAGACAAAACAAGATACAGGGCTAAGAACCCCTCAGAGGGGCTCTAGTGGGGCAGGTCCAAGGGTGGGTTACCAGGGCAACCAGTCTCCCATTGGATGTACTAGCTAGATATACTAATTAAAATTATAAAAACGATGAAAATTTGATGCTGTGTGTGCACATAGAGAAAAGCTTTCATTAAAAGACTGCTCATGATTCTGTCTGTTCTAATATTGTTTGGAAAGTTTTTCTTCTGATTTAAGGCAGCCGTAGTTTAGCAGGAGAACACCTGAAGAGCAGCACAAAGGAATTCCAGCTGCTGCAGCCAGTGGGTTGGTTTCATTGGGGTTCCCAACCTCTATGCTCTATGCAAACACACACAGCATGGGGAATAAACAACTGGAGTTAGAGATGTGCACATGCCTGCAGGGCAACACTCTTACTGGAACCATGGAGACATGGAGGGATGGCTCCTGTGACTGGTGCTCGAATGAAGTCATACCAGAAGGATGCATCTCTTCAGCAACAGATAGGAGCACCCTCTCATTCACAAGCCCTCACCTTCCCAAGACACTTCAACCATATCTATTGGAAGGACAACACTGCAGGCCATAAGCAATACAGGAGGTTCCTAAAGTGTGTTGATGATAACTTCTTTCTCCAAGTGACACAGAAGCCAACAAGGAGAGGTTCTTTTCCGGGCCTTGTTCTCACCAACAAGGAGGGGCTGCTGCGGCACGTGATGCTCAAGGGCAGCTTTGGCTGTAAGTGACCATGGAGTGATGGCTTTCAGGGTACTTAGGGCAGGGAGGAAGGTGCACAGCAAGCTCACTGCTCTGGACTTCAGGAGAGGAGACTGGTTTCTCCAAGGGTAGAGTACCACTGGCTGGCATCGGAGCTGCATCTCTGCTGTATGATGTAGAGCATAGTCTATGCAGAATTATAGCCATTTAGGGAGCAGGATTGGCTGGATTTCAGATTGAGATAACTTCTTAATGATTCAGAATCATTAAGTTACATACATTTTTATCCTGTGGAAACTCATGTCCTTCACAGCTGCCACAGCAAGTAGGTGTAACTTGTTATACATAATGATTCAAATCAGCAGTTTAACTTGTTTAGGCAGACTGAGAAGCAGTGTTGGAACTATGCACATATATATTTTCCCACACTGGTTATAGTTATATTTTAGGGTCTTAACCCAACAAGTTAAGTTTAAACCCAACAAGTCTTAGTTGGCAACTAAGAACCTCACAGTCATTCACTTACTTCCTCCCCATCCTGGTGGAATGGGGAGAAGAATCAAAAGCAAAACTTGTAGGTTGAGATAAGAACAGTTTAATTATTGAAATAATAAAAAAAAAGTAACAATAATGACAGCAAAAAGGAAAAACAACTGACGAACAAAGCAATTGCTCACCATCTGCTGACTGATGCCAGACACCATCCCTGCACCCAGTTAGCCCCCCTTACAGGTAACTCCCTCAGTTTATGTAACAGGGCAGGATGGTCTATAGTGTGGAATATCCCTTTTGTCAGTTCAGGTAAGCTGTTCACGCTGTGCTCCCTCACAGTTGTTTGGGGTTTTCTTGTTGTCATTGTTTTTTTTTTGGTGGGGTTTTCGTTTGTTTGTTTCGGTTTTGTTTTTGTTTTGGTAGGTAGGAGTTTTTAGTTGTGTTTTTTCTTTTTTTTTGTTTGTTTGGTTTTTTTGTTTGTTTCTTTCTTTCTTTTTTGGTTTGGCAGGGGGGGGGTTTGTGGTTTTTAGTTTTGGTTTTTGTTTTGGGGGTTTTTTTGGCTTGTGTACCACCTCACTGTCAGAGCATGAGACCAAGAAAGTCCTTGGATAAACACAGCTTAGCAACAACCAAAACATCAGGGTGTTATCAACATTATTCTCATACCAAATCCAAAACACAGCAATGCACCAGCTACCAAGTAGAAATTAACTGTATCCCAGCCTAAACCAGGACAGATTTTTGGCTCAAAAACTCTGTCATATGTACATTTAGGTTCTTTAGCAGACAGTTCCAGTAAATACTGCTAAAGATTTAAGATGACGAACTTTCATTGTGCTTAAAATAATTTTTAAGAGATACTGGGAGGTGAGGGGGCCAACCAAAGCTATATCTACATAGAGAATAAAATCTTTATAAAAAAATATTGCTTCCAGGTTGTTAGTGACCAGGCCTGGATTCTTACAAGCTTGCCAAGCATTTTTATTTTTTTTATGTCTTCTTGTTGTCAAGATTGAATATAATGAGCTGATAAAGAGATGTCTGACTGCAGACATGACAGCTATATCAACTGAAAATCACTGAGCATGTAGAAGACCAATACTTACTAGTCTTGACTTGCCAAAACTAAGCAGAACAAAGATGGAAATTTGATTTACTATTTTAAACTGACTGTTCCAACCACCAGACTAAAGGATTTCCTAGGGGATGTGTGTATTACAAGAGTTTTGTTTGCATTCTATACTGACTTTAGAAGCTTTCCAACAACAAAAAAAAATCCCCCCCCCAAAAAAAAACCACCAAAAAAACCCCTCTATAACAAACAAAAAATTAAAAATAAACAAAACCATTCATCCATCAAATGGATGAATGAAACCATATGATGAATACTGATGGGCTCCTGGTAGTTCTGATAGGAGAAACACGGTAACCATCTCTTCACTTCATCCACTATTGAATGTAGTCCTCATTTATGTCTGTTTCAGTTGATTAAGACTGAAGGCACAGCAGAGGTTACTGCATATGTACTTTTTTCAGTTCTGACTATGGAAGTGTAGAAAAATAGTTTGCTATACCTCTTTTCTGCAGTTATATTTCTTAGTTTACATTTATAATCCATTATATACAATCTACTAAGGCATGTAAAATGCCTCTTAAATCACCTTCAAATTTACTTAATCTTTTTATGTTACTAAAAGCATGGAATAGTTGAAAGTGAAGTATCAAAATTAATATTATTATTTAAACTGAATAAAGGCACTATTAATGGTACATTATGGCTGGGTGTTATATGCAGATGAGAGGCACATGCATCAGCTACAAAGACACAGCTTAAATACTGAGGATATTGTGTCTCTGAATTAGCAACAAGTACTTTATGTTTCTATAGCAGTTAATCATAAGAAGTTAAAAACACTTAACAAATGGGTAAAGTTTAAGGAAGAGAAGTAATACTGGTCAACACCTTGTTCTAGATCACATGAAAAACTCAACAACAACATAAAACCAGATGATCTGCCATTTTTTTATACACAGTGAAACATTTTATTGAATATTTGTAAAAGTTGCCTTGAGCCCTAAGCAGAGTCTCTGGATCCTGTAATAAGATAAATTATAAAATCATTCTTCAACTGTTACCCATATAACAACTATAAGGAAAGTTCATGAGGGAAATACTCAGCTGTGGGTTGAATGCAAACTCAAATCCACAGCATAATGGGACCTGCCTCATTTATTACAATGTAGAAATCTTGTACTGGTTTGGTCTTGTGCCACAGAAGACCCTACACTTTAGTAGTAGGCTATTAAAAACAACTATGGACAGAAGTGGTGTCTTACGTTTTTGAAGAGAATTATTTTTCTTACTTACACTGCAGCAATTATGAAGTTTATAATATAAATTGAAACTCATAATACTTAGATTTACTGCAGATTGTAAATTTGTATTTATAAGGTTGTATCTGAAAAACAATATATGGTGTCTTACCTGGGCAAATGTTCAGTTTTTGGTAAAAACAGATAATTATTACTTCCTCGGAGAGATAAATATTGGAGGATAATGCACTTGCCAAGTGCACTACAGGTTAGCTGTATTTTGCAGATAGACAAAAGCCGCAAGTAGTCTGTGAACAATTAACTGGATTTTAGGAAATCTACTTTGTAACAAAGAGTTTTTATAATTGAATATTTTTTAAATTGAAATAATTAATATTGATAATTAAATTGAAGTAATGCAAATGCAATATTTTGACTTTGGCAGTACAGAATTTTGGTCCTGGTTATCCCAGGGAAAATACCCACATGTCCAACTTCAAACACTGCTATGGAACTGAAGACTTTTTCAGTTTAGAAACTGGATAATTTAGTATGAAATGTGAAAATATCCTGGAAAACTAAAACTGCAGAATAAGAACGGAAAGTTACCATAAAGAGGTGGCTATAACAACATGTATTCAAAAGATAAGCAGAAATATCCCTTACCTTTTTCTCTTCGGTCCAGATTCAGCAGAGCTGGTGCAGGAAAAGTATTTCAAAAGTAAGATGCGTTTAAGTCCTATGAAAAGAGCTGCAGATTCCCAGTGTTTTCAGCAACTGAAGTTTCTCATCAGAAAGAATATTGCACTACCTATTCTGCTGCTTTGCTGTGATAAATTATTCCTATTCTTTCAGTCAACTACAGTAAAATGATGCCACAGGAAACCATTCCGTTCTGAAGCAGATTAAAAATGGAGAAGTCAAGACATGAACAAACAGGGCGGAGCCCAAGCCACTCTTCTCATGCCAAAAGTGTCAATTAAAGATTTATTTTCTTATTCTCCTGACTTCAGAGATCCACCCAGTGTCAGAAATTGGTACTGAAGTCCCAAAACATCCTGTCACTGTTCACAACACTCTAAGATAGCACTAAAGTTTTAATCTCTGAAAAAAAAGTTTTGACAAGCTGGGGGCGGGGAGTGTGTTTGGAAGCACCTTCGTCATCTGTGAAAGGAATCTGCATTTATGTCTTATTTACGCCTTTCTCATCACAAACATAAACAAAACTTGGTGCTCTGCTTTTCAAGATATTAAATTCTTCAGTTCTGTGAACTCTAGGACATCACTATAACAACAGGAGGTTATCTCCCAGCTGCCAAGTCTTGCAAGTAATTTATTTTTTCCTGATGACATGGACATGTGATAATATGGATGCAGAAATGAGAATGACTAGGATTCAAACAAGATCTCAGAAGAAATCTCAATAAATAAATAAAAAGTGAACATTTTTAACACCCATAATTATTTTAGTAGAATGGCTCATGACTTTTAAAAAATGTATTTTGCAGACTTTTGTCTTGAGACTTTACCAGACTGCTTTTATGTTAATTATTTGAGACTTCCACATGTAAATATGTCCAACTATCTGGAATTCATCTTATATGTTTAATTTCTCGTATGTCAGACACTGATTTAGGTGTCAGCCTTAGGCATGCTGGAGCTGTTTTTTTTTCCCTACGCCTAAAGATTCAAACACAAAAGAACATTTCTCAAAGAAAATAAAAAGTGAACATTTTTAACACCCACAATTATTTTAGTAGAATGGCTCATGACTTTTAAAAAATGTATTTTGCAGACTTTTGTCTTGAGACTTTACCAGACTGCTTTTATGTTAATTATTTGAGACTTCCACATGTAAATATGTCCAACTATCTGGAATTCATCTTATATGTTTAATTTCTCTTATGTCAGACACTGATTTAGGTGTCAGCCATGCATCAGGCATGCTGGAGCTGGTTTTTTTTTCCCTTGCCCTAAAGATTCAAACCCAAAAGAACATTTGTCAAAGGCTGTGAAAATGAGAAACTCAAGAACTCTTCCAGAGTCAGAACTGCCACACAGAGAGCTTTTGAATTTGTTTTCTTTTTTTTTTTTCCCTGAAAACTGATCTTACAGTTTTACTAGGAAAGGCTCACATGAAAATATAACTAGTAATTAAAAAAATTCTGTACAATAATCAGGGCACTAGTAGCTGCTGGCTGACATAAGGTACTGAAACTTTTGCAGAAATGGCTCATGGCATGATGTTCAAGAATTGACTTAGGACATTTGCATATACACAGTCAATTTGAGCCTATTGATGTCACTCTCTTCCTACTAAATAACACAAGGAGATTTCTGCATTGTATTGCCCCTCTGAAGTCACTTTACATCAGGGGAATGGAAACAACCAGCCAAGAAACTTTCCTTTCTGCATCAACTAAGAGAGAAGATTTTGATTATATATTTATATTGCTAAATGAGAAAAAAAAATAGCAGCCACATGCAGCTGAAGCACTGACCTCTCAGTAATTGACACTGTGAATTTGAGCCTATTGATGTCACTCTCTTCCAACTAAATAACACAAGGAGATTTCTGCAATGTATTGCCCTCTGAAGTCAGTTTACATCAGGGGAATTGAAATAACCAGACAAGAAACTTTCCTTTCTGCATTAACTACGAGAGAAGATTTTGATTATATATTTATACTGCTAAATGAGAAAAAAAAATAATAGCAGCTGCATGCAGCTGAAGCGCTGACCTCTCAGTAATTGACACTGTTTAACTATAAGGCTACTCTCCAGATCCATTTGGACTGCTCTGAGGAGAAGATTCCAGGAAGTCCCTAGAGAGTGGGCTAGTCCTAAGCACCAGCTGGTCTTGAAGGATTGAATCTAAATCCAGCAATTTAGCAGAACAGGCAAAGTCAAATATCAACCCTCTGTGCTTTTGTGACTACCAACCCCTTCAACTTGTTTCCTTGCCAATTTAAGATTCCTGAGCTTTCCTGAAAACAGTGTAAAGAAAAGTTGTTTGGAGCTGGACAAAACATTTAAAATTCTTTCGTTTTCCTACATATTCATAGTTCAGATTAAATTTTAAAATAGCAGTGCAGTGCTGCAAGAAAAGTTGAGAAATTGTCCTGGCACTGAGGGTCACATCACGCCTCTTAATCAGTTTAATTCTCCAGGCCTGGAGTCCCAACACTTCACAGCTACTGACTGAGAAGTAATATGCATACTCCTTTTTCGTAATATCACTTTTATAAGCCATTCATTTTTTTAAGTCTGGCCCTCTTGTTGGAATGTTTAACGGTATAAATAATCAGGCAACCTGGTGGCACAGTCCAATGGGATGTCTTTTTCAGCTGGTATGAAAAGACATTGAATGGAAAAAAAATTAAATAAAACCTACACAAAAGAAATAATTAAAAGTCATTGCAGCTGTTTTTTTAATTTAAAAAAACCCCACCTTGATACTCTGGTATCAAGGATATCCCCCTAACTGTTGCTGCTCCCCACCCTGTTGCAGCCCGTTTTTAAAAAGAGAAAACTTTGCATATTTCCAACTAGCACAGACACATTTTCCAACAAAAACTCCTGTCAACAGCCAGGACTCTTTGATATTCCGTCCTTAACCCTGTACCATTACATCGTGGCCCTGCCTGTGGAGATTGCCATGATGCCCTGCTGTCATAGAACACTTAGCATCCTTCCATGACACCAGAGATTTTCTCCCAGAGAAGCCAGACATAATCCCTCTTTTAGACGGCTCTCTGTGGCTCCACAGGCCATTCAAGAGTCATAGAATGGCTTGCATTGGAAGCAACCTTGCTTCTACTTGCAACCAACCAGAGACACTTTCCACTAGATCAGGTTGCCCAGAGCCCCTTCCAACCTGGCCTTGAACACCTCCAGGCATGGAGCATCCATGAATTCCCTAGGCAACCTGTTCCAGTGTCTCATAGTAAAGAATTTCTTCCTAGTATTACATCTGAATCTACTCTCTTTTTGTTTTAAAGCCATTTCCCCTTTTCCTATCATTACACACCCTTGTAAAAACCCTCTCCACTCTCTTGTCAGCCCCTTTAGGTACTAGAAGGTGCTTCTCTTCTCCAGGCTGAACTGCCACAACTCTCTCAGCCTATCTTCATGGGAGAGGTGCTCCAGCCCTCTGATGCAGCTCCAGGATGTGATGTCTGTACTTCCACCAAAGAAGTGCAACCAGAGACACTTTCCACTAGATCAGGTTGCCCAGAGCCCCTTCCAACCTGGCCTTGAACACCTCCAGGCATGGAGCATCCATGAATTCCCTAGGCAACCTGTTCCAGTGTCTCATAGTAAAGAATTTCTTCCTAGTATTACATCTGAATCTACTCTCTTTTTGTTTTAAAGCCATTTCCCCTTTTCCTATCATTACACACCCTTGTAAAAACCCTCTCCACTCTCTTGTCAGCCCCTTTTGGTACTAGAAGGTGCTAAAAGGTGTCCCTGTACCTTCTCTTCTCCAGGCTGAACTGCCACAACTCTCTCAGCCTATCTTCATGGGAGAGGTGCTCCAGCCCTCTGATGCAGCTCCAGGATGTGATGTCTGTACTTCCACCAAAGAAGTGGAAACTTATTATTGCTCTCCAGTACAAACTGCTGTCCTGATTAGCACTTCTGTACTTGCACAAGAGCCATTGGCTTTCCTTAGCCATCTGCGTTACACTGATTCCTGATATTTGGGGCTATGCACAGTTGTGGATAACTTTAAAGCAATTCAACTTCTTAACATCCCCTTGCACTCCTACACAAGTGCCTTGCTGCTATGCTGAAGCTCTTCTGTAAGCATTAGTACTGCCTGCTCTTAGCAATAGTAAAATATGACATTCGTGGTTTTCCTTATGATGATACCAAACAAGAAATGGCCTTAATTGATCAATCAGCAAGGACAGTGGGTCTTTCTGGCTGACACATTCCTGTAAATGCTCTCATCAGCCTTTCTAAACAGCAGTCACCATTTGCTTCTCTTTCAGAGCCGTTTTGCAGGATTCAGCCCTAGGAGATGAAAACATTGCCTGGCTGTGCCAGGAGTGCCAGTTACATCTTGAGTCCTCATGGCCATCCCCAGATGACCACCTTGTTGCACCTCAGCTTCTCCTTACTTTACTGGTGTGACTCACCTGGTGGCTCATCCTGGCAAGGGCGTGTGATTGCATCAGTAAAACAAATTTGGTTTGCCCCAGATTTTCTCTAAGAGCACAGCAATACTCCAGCACTTGTCCAATTTGTTTGGTCCATAACATCAGATGAAGATGCAGCACACCTAGACACACAGGTTTCCTTTGTAAATTTGCAAGGGGATTTTATTCAGATGTCCAAACGATGTAACCACAAATACACTTATTTAATCATAAACTTTTTCTCAGGATGGGTAGAGGTCTGTCCATGTAGAAATGCCGATGCTACTACTGTCACTAAGAAACTTTTCACACAATGCATCATTTTGGAATACTCATTGTACCACATAGTGACCAGGAGACTCATTTCCCAGGACTGGTTGTCCAGGGATCCATCAAGCCCTAGGAAACCAAGGGCATTTACACTTTGAAGCAGCTGAAAAGAAGAAATCTGTTTAAGAATTATAGTGGCCAAACTTTATGAATAAACCAGCCTAAAATGGACAAATGCTTTCCCTTTGGCCCTAATATAAATCAAGATCACTGTGAATAAAAACACACACTATGTCCATGGGAAATTGCAACAGGTAAGCCCATAAGGTTACTGCATAGCTCACCTAATCCACCACACAGATCTAAGCTACAGGTGAGCTCTAATAGTGGCAAGACTATTCACTCACAGGTTGAAAAAAAATATCTTTCCAGAACTTGCCTGTGAATGTACCACCATTCTGGACCACAGATTTGAGTCTACACCAAAGTGACACACACATGACTCAAGATCAACAGCATCAGATTCATAAACATGCTCTGCCCTCAAACAGTTGAAAATATTTGTATCTTTGAATAAACTATTAAAATGCCTTTCTTCAGCTGGCCTACCATTATGCTAAAGACTTAAATATTTCAAAATGCCGGGTGTGTTCCAATATCCCTCTTCACTCTAGTGAAGATGTCATCATGCTTCCCATAGCATGTAATTTGTCAGTAAATCAGCCAGTCTGGAAAACCCTGAAGGCAGAGATTCCTTGTCCAAG